GCCAGGCCAGGAATGTGCTTGGGGCCAGGGTCTCCTTCCAGGGTTGTCCCGCAGGTGAAGCCCTCCCACCTCTCTGGCCTAGCTTCCTGCTATTCCCCCCACCACCTTCTCAAAATTTGGGGGACATACCATGATGCTCCCATCTCCACTTCCCAGACAATTTCCAAGCACTGTGTGGTCTATCTCCTGAACACCCCCCACATCTGCACTCCAGTCCCCACTGCTTTGGCCAAAAGCAGCCATCCTTGGCGGGGATCCCCCACCTCGTGACCTCCATGAGCTCCCCCCTTCTCATACACCCCCTCTCCCCAGCCCACAGCTCACCCCCAGATGCCTTAACCGGGCTTGCCAGGTCTTTCCTGATGCACTTCTGACTTGCATGTGCCTCTCCAGCCTTTCTGCTGACTCCCACACTGACACACATTCACGGATCGCCCAAAGCATCACACAAGTAGCACCTCTGGACCAGAGCGCCTGCTGCCTTTGCCCCTTGGCCCTCCCCCCAAGGCTCTCCTCATTCTTCCCTCCACCCAACCCCGATCCTGGGCCCCTGATTCTTCAGGCTCCCTCCCAGCCTTCCACTCCGGGAGCCCTTCAGGAACCAGGGCTTAGCTTTCATGAGCTGTGTGCCCTCCCAGCACAGGGTCTGGCCCACAGTGGGTGCTGGGCGGGCGGCGTTGGACTGAGTGAGTGTGCAGTGGGGCTCTGAGATTCTCTGGATTCGGATTTTCTGTATGGTGGCTGCAAGAGATGCCTCTCCCTGGATGTCCTGGTCCAGAGTGCGCCTTTTTTCAGGGTTCGGGGGCCATCCCTGAGCACAGCATCCCCCATCATTTGGTGCCTGGAGGTAGTCTCCAGTTTCTCTCCATGGCCCAAGGGCAGGCGGAGTTGTCTGGAGGCGGGCATCCACTGGGAGGATGCTGGCCATGGGCCCAGCTGTCACATCACCCCTCAGCTGTTCTAACGGGGTCACCTTGTGCATACATAGCAAGGTGTGGACACAAAAGAGATATATTTTTAGTGCTGTCTTTATAGGCAAGACAGAGGAGCTTGTGTGGTGAAGTGGGTGCTGAATTTGGGATTGGGAGGCTTGGTCCTATTGATTTTCGTTACTGACATGAAAACTAAGCGTATGTTGAATATGCAGCAGCACACAGAGTGCAACATGAGACACGCCCTTGCTCAGCCCCAGGAGGCCGAGCACACACTGCCCGCAGCCGCACACACTGCCAGGGGCACCAGGCCGCTGTCCTTGGGAGGTGAAGGTGGCAGGCCCGCCTGACCTTCAGCCACCCCAACCTGCTCTTGGGTTCCTCAGTGCCAGGCAGGGTTGAGATTTCCAGAAGCCAGCGATGACATGTGAAGGGTGGATGGCTCCCGGGATAAGGGGAAGCCAGACGCTTTGGCCTTCCACCTCGTCCTTTCCTGGTCCCGGCAGGACGCAGCAGAGCCCCTGGGCTCAGGCCCCTGTCGAGACAAGGTCACGAAGCAGAGCAAGAGCATTCTTGAGACATTCCTGGTGAGTTCAAGGAGAATAGAGGCCACGGCTGGTCTGGGTGAGGGGTTTCAGGAAAGGAAGGAAAGCGTGGCGCAGAAGCAGAAGGGTGTCCAGGCCAACAGGTAAAACTGAGGACCCTGGCAGAGAAGAGTGAGTTTCCACGTCAGCCCACCTAAATTACTGGGCGCCAGGGAATCTCGTGCCTTCCTGCTGCAGTCCGCCCCTGCCCCTCCATCCTGGGTCGGCTCAGCAAACTCCCCATGGCCTTGCTTCTTCCTACACATCTCAGGGATGCAGCTGCCAGCACCTGGCTCCCACCTCTCTGGGCTTGCATCCATCAGGACTGGTTTGGGGACAGGATGGAGAATGTCACTTTTTTACCTTTCTTAGATTTCAGGGGAAAAATCAAACCCAATTTTTCTGTATGAGAGACAATGAACCCAACAGTCTCAAGAGATCTAAAAGCAGGGCTGAGGGTTCTCCTCCTTGACTCGAGCTCACTGTCCTCACATTGGTACTTGGGGGAGTATTCCTAACGTTTGGGGATAATTGCTAAATGACCATGGTTGCTCTCCCCCACCCCCTGCTGCCTGCTAGTACCCCACCCGAGCCGTGTCCCCATCTGGAGAACACCCGGAGCACTGGGGCCCCTCTTACGTCACTGTATCCAGTGTATCCAGGTGACCTGGCCCAGGGTCCCTGCCCAGAGAAGGTGCTCAGTTAGTGCCCGGGGAAGAGAAGGTTACCAGAAGAAGCAGTGGCCTGGGGAGAAGGACCCCTGTGTCTGCCTTCCCAATCTGTTTCTTTAATTTCCTGGTCATGAATTTGGAAGGATTGGTGATGATAAATTTAAGACAACTTTCCTTCTGGCACCGGCTGTGCCTCCTTTCTGAGGAGTTCAGACCAGCCGTTGACCCGGGTTGCTCACGGAATAGTTCACCGTGCACCTCCAGCTGCAGGTCTCTGCCTGCCCATGGTGAGCACCAACACACAGGCAGAAAATTCTCCTGTACTGCCTGGAAATAGGGCACCATCGCTCACGCACCCATCCTTCTCCTTCCTTCCTTCATTCACGTGTTCACTATCGCTTTAATGAACACTCATCGAGTACTTACTGTGTTCCTGGTGCTGGACCAGCACTGCTGGTAGGCATCTAGCAGCAGCAAATTTTTGTACTCCCAAGGACAAGCCATCATTCCTTGACTGCCCTGGGGGGAAGCATGGCCATACTCTGCCCTACTTTTTACAGTTGGGGACATAGAAACAGACTGATTTTAATCTGCTTACATAATTATTGGACATGACTCAGAACCGAGGCTGCTGAGTACAGCCGCGCAGGCTGTGCACTGCACAATTTCAGGGGCGTTTTGCAACAGGGAAGCCTTGCATCGGGCTCCAGAATCAGTCACCAGCTGTCATTGCTCAGTCCACCAGGCTGTGTGGCTTGTTCAGATCCCACTGAACTGAGTTGTGCTACAACTCCAACAGCAAGTGGTGCCAGTGTAGCTGCTAAACCAGAAGAGCTGGTTCCCATCTAGGCCTGGCAAGCCCACAGGCACTTGGGTGGAGGAGACGTCCTTCTCCCTTAAGCCCAGCCAGTGGACCTAATATCCAGAGCTCTTCCCCTGCTTTTCCTCTAGCCCCCCCGTCTGCTGGGCCCCCAAGTTGTCCCTGTACTTTCCCCCACCCCCAACACAGCCTCTGACTTAATGGCCCTGGTGCCATCCACCAGGCAAGCCGGGGAGACCCCAGAGGCCTGGTCTGGTAAGGCCTGCTGTGGGGCTGGGATAAAGCATGCCACTGCCTTATTCCTTGACCACAGACTGGCCTCTACCACGAGTCAGACTGTGCAGCATATCAGCTGAGTGACCTCTTTTCCCCTCCCACTCAGAAACACATGTGTCCATAAAACGAAAAGCAAAAGCAAAAACCACAACAAGTGAAGCATTGCCGACTAGGTGCCTCCATGGGGCATCTCCCCGTCAGCGTCTCACCCTACCCTCCCCAAGGCCCAGATCGGTGGGATCGACTCCCAGCCTGCCATCCGCAGGACTGAATGGTCGGCGGTCTCCGTGGACCCACTGAGGCCCCTCAGCTCCAGTGAGCATGCGTGGTACCCTCATATTCACATTCCTGAGATGCCCCACACTACACGAGGCTTTAAGCCAGGCAGCAGGCGAGCCCAGGAACTGGAGCAGGGACTGGGGCATTACGAGCCTCTCTGCTGCTCCTAAGGGCAGGCAGCTCCCCTCCTGGGCCTGTTTTCCATCAATAGCACCGGCCATGCCGAGGGCACCAAGCAGGGAGGGGTCCCCACTCTCTGTGCCGGTGACGCGGTCAGCTGGAGACCCAAGCTCAGCCTTAGCAGGAAAGAACAGTGTGGGTGGGGGTCGATTCTGAATCGAGTCCCTGAAGGCCATAGGAAAATACACCCTGGGGTCAGGCAAGAATGTCGGGTGACTCCTGCCAGGACCCAGCTGTGCTCTGTGAGTCCCAGGGCTCTTGCACAGCTCAGAAGTATTGGTGTCTGTGTGGCGCTGAGCGGGGCTGTGACCGCCTGGAAGACAGATTCGTGGCTTCCTGGCTGGAACACATGGGAATGCATTTGAATTTAAAAGGCTGTTTTTCTTTTCTGGTGTGTGCATGTGAACATATGTGCGTGTGTGGGTGCGCATGCCTGGCACGCACCTGGGTTTCCATGTGCGTACAGTTCAGGACTGGAGCGTGTGCTTCTTCATCTCCATGTGATTTGTACCACGGGTGGTGACGGCAATTTGGTTGATGAGAAACAGTCTCCTGCTTCCCCATGTGGTATCCACCCAAGAGCCCGTGCGTTGGTATTTGGGCCCAGGGGGAGAATGCATAGAAGCGTGTACCTGTAGTGTCAAATAATCAGGTGCTGGATGGATCACCAAGATGCTGCTATTCACCCGGCCTCTGTGGGGATGGCGCTGTTCCTGGGCACAGGAACGGGTTTTGCTGGCCTCTGTACACACATTCACCCAGCTTCCCTGCCAACGGTGACTAACCTGCTGGCTTTTGGGTACAGGACACACCCCAGGAACAGGACCAGGGTGCACAGAGACTGAACCTGCAGCCTGGGTCTCGTTAGCTCCAAGACCTTGCAATCAAGCAAAGGAGCCCGTGGTGGTGGTGATGCCGCCTGGCATCTGCTCAGTGCTTTCTTAAGTGCCTCGGCCTGCCTTGTTCATTCAGCCAGTACTTACTCAGCACCTGCTCACAGATGTGGCCACTCATGGCGGCAGGCGGGCAGGGGAGGATAGCTGATGTTACCCGTCTTGTGTCCCTGAGTTTGGTGAGATAGAACCAGAGCTAGAACTCAGGGCCCTTCTGCACGGAGAGCTTCTCACCCCTCCTCAGGGAGGGTCTATCCAGGGATGCATGCTCCACATGGTACAGTGCAGCTGCCTACCCCGGGCCCCTGGGATCCCTGCAGGAGGGGCTCAAGGGCCTCTCTCAGACGCGACTGCTCTCCCTACAGAATGGCGACAAGGAAGCGGGGCCAGGATGATCCTGCAGGATGAAGACATTACCACCAAAATTGAGAATGACTGGAAGAGACTGAACACACTGGCCCATTACCAGGTGGGGTGACTGTGCAGGAGGGGTGGGGCTCGCTCAGCTGCGGTGGCCTCCAAAGCTCAGACCTCTCTCACCCAGAGAGGCTGGACACCACGCTGTGCACCCACCTCTCCCCCAGCACTTCTGACTCCCTTGGCCACCCAGAGAAGCCTGACATCCCCCAGCCAGGAAACCTTGACCTCTTTGAGATAGGACACTAACATGCATGCCTCCCGCAGGGTGTGGGCAAATCCCCAAGAAAAGGCAATGATTTGTTGGATGATCCCTGGGGCATAGTCCAGGTGCCCTCTAAGGGAATCATCAGGATGGAGGGTGCTGCTGAGTGAGAAGTTCTTGCCACAGTTGCTCCAAGAAGGAGCCACAGCGTAAGGTGCTACTCAGCAGTCGGGTCTGTCTTGTTTTTTCAAAGCACAGCTGACCACCTCCAAAGTCCCCCCATCTTCTGTGAGGCACTGACTGCCCCTGAGGTCCAGCTTATCTCCTGGGGTGACAGACTTTCTGTACCCAGGCTCTGAGAAGCCTTCTCTCTGCAGGTGCCAGATGGTTCTGTGGTGGCCTTAGTGTCCAAGCAGGTGACAGCCTATAATGCAGTGAACAACTCCACAGTCTCCAGGACCTCGGCGAGTAAATATGGTGAGTTCTCCCAGTCGGCCTGGGGAGGAGAGAATGCCCGAGCTTGCGGAGGCGAGTATCACGAGGGCAGCCCTGCTGAAAGGCAGCAGACCCCTGGGCGGGAGTCAGGGGGGCTGACTGTCTCTGGGGAGAGCCCGAGTGGGGAGGGGTCTCCACATCTGGAACTCTGTGCAGGAATTGAGGACTTTCATCCTTGACAAACAAGAAGGAAATCTAACCTTCATGAGCAGCTTACACTCTACGTGATGCTTTCACTTTTGTGATATTCATTATCACACATCCTGTTCCTAACAATCAGTGAATTAAATAATTATTATTTCCCCCTATTATGCAGATTAGCAAATTATAACTCAGATGCAGAGACTCTAAGTGATGGGTAAAGGTCACACTGTCACGAAGCAGTTGAGGGAAGGTGCAGACCCAGGTCTCCGGCTCCGTGGTACGGGGGAGGGGGGAGAAGGTACTGGAAGTGGGCTGGGAGCCCTGGAGCAGCCCTACTCCGCCTACACCTGTGTGCTTTGGGGCCAGCTGCCTGATGGCTGCAAGACCTGGTCCTACCAGCAAAACAGCGAATGAAAAAGTTACTGACTTCACAGAATCAGTGTAGGAAATAAGTAGAAGAAAACACGGTGGCACCTGCACACAGTAGGGCCTTCGCCTTTTCTGCACCACACTCTTTCCACCACACCCCGCATGTCAGCCAGCAAGTGGGAAGGGCTGGCCCAGGCCAGACGGAAGGATCGGGGGAAGCAGGTGACAGGGCCGTGGTTCAGCCGGTGCACAGTCATGAAGGGAACGGGCTACCCACTCCTTAACAGTCTACCCAGAACACATCCTGAACCATCACCTCAGAACTCTTTCAAGGAACACACTAATAAGGGACAGGCTTATATTTTTAGAAATTGAATAATTTAGGGCTGGAGAGATGCAAGTCCAGGAGGGCGAGGGATCTCAGTGGCATGGAGAGCTTCCTGGAGGTGGCAGGCAAAGCATCCCAGTTTCAGGGAACGTTGCTTGCAAGACACACAGTCAATAGCACCCGCACGCCGTAGGAAGGATCACACAGCCTTGGCCGTGGCAGGAAGGGTGGGGGGCCGGCGTGTTGGGTAACTACAGGCCTCACCCAGGCGGGGTCCCTGCATTGGCAGAGAACATGATCCGGTACACGGGCAGTCCCGACAGTCTCCGCTCGCGCACACCCATGATCACCCCCGACCTGGAGAGCGGAGTCAAGATGTGGCACCTGGTGAAGAACCACGAGCATGGGGACCAGAAGGAGGGTGACCGGGGGAGCAAGATGGTGTCTGAAATCTATCTGACGCGTCTACTGGCCACTAAGGTAGGGGACCTCAGGCAGGGCCAGGGGCAGGTGTGGGGTATGGGGAGGAACTTCATCAGAGCCGGCAGGTACCTGATGTTTGTGCCAGGACCCCTCTGTTAGCCACCCAGCGCTGGCACTCTTCGTCAGAACCTCAGAATCCTTCTCGACCCAGTGCTCCAGGCAAACCCCACCCGGGCATCACGGTTGGCATGTAGTCTGAGACTTTGTGCCCGCCCTTCTCCGTACCCGTTCTCAAATATACAGACATGAGGTACATCTGTTCACGCTCCTCTGCTGTGCCCCCACGAAAGGATGACCCCCTCTCTAGGGCATCATATTCAATCTCTAGCGAGGGGCAACTGGGCCCCCAGCAGTGGCTTTCCAGGCGCTACCTCCAATCCTGGGGACACTGTGTGCCTGCGGCTGTCTTTCTGCCGTGGGGCTGCCCCCCCCCCCACTCCCTGCAGAGCCAAGTGAGTACCTGTTCCTTAGCCAGAATGCTAAACAAAACCAGCAGATCGTGCTTGTCGGCTCTGACCGAGGGAGCTGTTCATTAGCATTTGTGAAAGGTGCTAAAATAACACCACCCAAGGGCGTCAAACCAAACCATGTTGTTGGCAGAGGAAGGCTTACGTAGGTCCAGTCTTGGCGCTCCGTCTATTTTTGCACGCGCTGGGGAGGTTTAGGGAAACAGATGAAGATGGGGGGGGACTGCCGGCGCGTGCACTCACCCGGTTCCCCCAGGGGCCCGGGCTGCGCGCTGGCCTCCCTTCCCCTCTCCGGGGCTGCTAAAACCCGTCCTGGGCCTCGGCCTCGGCCCGGAGCTCCCTGGGCGGAGCTGTGCCTGAGCTGGCTGCCCTCGGCCCGCAGGGCACGCTGCAGAAGTTTGTGGATGACCTCTTTGAGACCATCTTCAGCACGGCGCACCGGGGCTCGGCCCTGCCCCTGGCCATCAAGTACATGTTCGACTTCCTGGACGAGCAAGCGGACAAGCACGGCATCCACGACCCGCACGTCCGCCACACCTGGAAGAGCAACTGGTGAGCGGGGCCGGGGTCCCCCACTTCCTCCGCGGGGACCCCTCGGAGCGGGCTCTGTCACCCAGCCTCCCACCCTCTCCTACCTCCGTGCTCCCTTCCTCCCTCACTTCCCTCTACCCAAGCCTCCTTCTTTTCTATCAGCCAACCAGTTCAGAAATACTGACCTAACCTAGTAAGCAAAAATTAACATGCTGAACGTTGCCACCAAGTCCCTGTCGCGTCCAGGTCCGCCCGCCCCGCGTGTCTGACGCCGAGTGCGCAGACAGCGTCAGGCTGGGCCCAAGGCACGTGGGTGATGGACAGGCAGGTCACTGTTCGGACAGGGAGGCTGGTGCGATGGTAGAGGGTGCACGTGGGCAGCTGATCCGAGAGGTCGGCATCTAATGGTGACTCTCCAGGACAGCTGTGACCTACGAGGCATCTAGGTCAACAAAAGGTATTTCTGTTCTATTAGAGAAGCAATGGTCTTCCCTTTCCCCCAGACATGTCTTCCACACTCCCTTTGGGAGGCCAGGGACGTGGCCTTCGGAGCAACTCTGCAGAGTCACGCTACAAGGATGGGCAGGATCCGATGCCATCCTAGCCAGAGTTGTCTCTGCTTCATCTGTCTCAGAGACAGAGGGATCCTCTGAGCCCTGACATCCCAGCCATCCCCACTGTGGTCCCTCCATCTGTCCTTTAACACATGTGCCCCTTCCCCTTCCTGTGTGTACTCTGGGTTTCTGTCTGCAACGGCAAGGTCAGACATCAGTATTCAGTACCTGGTGTGGAACCTTGCACAGCGCCATGGCTCAATAAATATTGATGATGATGTAGGGCCCAGGTGGTCTCTACGTGAGGGCTCTACCTCAGGCAAGGCTGGCTTATATTTAGTGCCATGCATTCCAGAATCGCCTCCCTGTAGCTTTTAAACAGCCTCTGTCCCAGGTGGTTCTTCCCTAGAACATTCTTCTAAGGCAGCGCAAACCTGCTGCCTGGCACCTGCCAGCTTTGGGGACGGCCCTGGCACTAAGGCACAGCCAGGCACCCCGACAGCCAGCCCGGGGCCACAGACCAAACACAGATGACAGCAGGAGTCAGAAGCGGCACTAAAACCTATTTCATGTCCATCTCCTTTGGCTTCTCATCTCTTCCACCTGAGGATTAGTGCTGTCTCTGCCGAAATTGGAAAGGTGGGCAGGAAGAGAAGTTTGGACCATAGCGCCAAAGGGCTGGGTGTGCTCCCACATTAACTCTGGGTAAAAGAAGGTCTTCCCCCATGGGCTTCTTGCAACCTTTTTTGAAGTAAGACTCCCAGAGTCTGGATCCCCCATCTAGTGCAGGAATGAATGCTGGGTGAAGCCTCTTCCCAGGCCCGATGTGTCCTGGTGCCTGCCTCGGGCTAGGATGCCCATCCTTTCAGGGTGACTCTGCAGGCTGTTCCAAGGCCCGTGTCCCCGGCCTGCCCAAATCTGCTTCTCTCTGCCAGCGAGTCTTCCTTACTTACCACTTGGTCTGATTGTGAGCCGCCTTCGCAACACAAGACATGCTCTGACCAGCCTGGCTCTTGGTTCTGGCTGGGGAGAGGTGGTATTTCCAAAACCCCCCTACCTGCCCTCATAGCCCATTACAAAGCAGACCCCCTGAGGTGGTGTCTAAACCGTTTGCTTTCAGCCCATTCCTCCTTCTAGAGGAAGACCCCCGCCGAGGAAGACCTCCCCCCACCCAAGGATTCCCTAACGCCCCTGGCACCAGCTCTTCCCAATACTCTGCTGTCCTCACCAGGAACTCCAGGGCAGTGCTAGAGTCAGCAGTACCAGGCCCGAGTTCTTGCACCAAAGGACACGCTCCCTCTGACCCTGCTTGCTGCCCAGGCGAGAAGCAGTTGGTCTGGGAATTATGAGATCTGCATCCTGACTTAGAGCTCCTTGTCACTAAGTGGAAAAAGAAAAGAAAAGAAAAGAAAAGATTACTTCTCTATTCCTGGCCAAAGTTGTAACTCACCTTGCCCCCCACTCCCCTTCCCCCCTTCCTCTACACTCCCCTACCTTTTCTCTTTGAAATAAACCTGCTGCTCATTTAGCCTGAGTGGCTGCAATCAACCAGAGATTAGTGCCACCACTAATGTTAATAATATGCTAATATTTCATTAGAGGCAGGAGCCTCGGTGAGGTGCCCTGGCTTCCCTGTTTGATTTGCCTGTCAGCACAACTGGCTTAAATAGGGGGAGTGTTGGGAGAGACAGCGGGGGCGGAGCAGACAGGGACTCCCTGTGTCCCTCTTCTGGGTGGGATTTCCAGAAGCAGGAAGGTGTGGACAGGCATGGGAGTCCTTCCTCCAGAGCTCTGACCCTAGATGTCATGGACTCCACGGGCAGCTACAGTGACCTTGACTTTCACTGTGTGTCACGATTTTCTGTGTCATCCCTTGATTTCCTGTTCTGCACTTCCCGGGATGAGACAAGCACCACCTGACCTTGCCAGATCTCGGCACTGCCCGCCCGAGTGCCAACGGCGCATGCTGTGGGAACAGAACACTTGTGGATTGATGGGCAGTCTTGAACAAGAGGTCTTTCTATATTTTAGCATTTGTCATATAGAGGTACTGGCTGCTAGTGGAGACAACAGATAGAAATATTGTACTTGCTGTCCTGAAGGAAGTAGCTCGAAGGGTTGGCGTTCTAAGAGGCAAGCCAAACGCACATGAGCCCTGTCACTACCACCAGCAGTTGGAACAGCAACCAAAATCCTAAAATGTCAGGGCCAAAGGCAAGAGGTGAGCTGGTAGGAGCAGAGGGAGGGAAACAAGCAATCCCTTGCTCAATGCCACCCCGCTTCCTAAGCTGCATCTCAGTGGGCTGCATGGACCCACGGGGTGGGAGAGCCAGCAGTCTGGCCAGGGGCGGCAGGTGGGCACGTTTCTCCCGATGCCCCAGGACCCTTTCTGGCAACACAGACAGGGCCTTGCAGTTATCAGACCACACTGCATGGTTTTTTCTCTGTTTGTCTGGGTTTAGCTGATTCCCCTCGCACATCCTCCAGGCCTCCTCCAGCTAGGGAACACCTGTGAGTCTTTAAAACTCAAGACCATCAAGTGTTCTTCCCTCTGTGAAGACTTTTTGGACCCTCCTCTCGGGGTGGCCTGGATGACATCTCCACGTGCCCCACATCAGACCCTGGATATCCTTGGGTTCCAGCACTGATCAATCCCAGAGCACATACTCTATGGCGTGTCTGATGCCCCCCCCAACCCACCAGAACACAGGCATCTTGAGGGCTGTGTCTTATTCACACTGTAGCCGCAGGTGCTAGCATAGTTCCGGATATGCAGTAGGTGCTAAGTGCAAGGAAGACGGAGGGGGAGGGGGAACACCAGGGGGCAGCTGACAGCCTGTCATGTGGGTCTCTAAGGCCAGCTCTGAGAGGAGAAATCAGTTAGCTACTCTAAAGGGCTCAGCCCCAGGACCTTCATTGTGTAGGATGGAGCTGATACCACCAGCCAGGGGGCAAGGAAGTGCTTCCTTCCAAGTCATACAGTGGGATGCAGAGAATAAGATACAAAGCCTATATTCCAGGTTATTCTTTAAGGTTTGCCAACCAGATGTGCCTTGTGTCCAGCATAGGGGGCAGACAGTGGAATAGTCTGGAATCCCACTTTGGGGAACCCGTCCTGGCCACCTCTGAGCCCAAAGCCTGGTCCCATCAGGCAAGGTGGTAGTCCCGTGGTGCAGGCCGGGCATCAAGCCCTCTCCCGAGCCCATGGTTCAACCTTGCTGATCCTCAGTTTCCTGGAAGGCAAGTTGGCTGCATAGGCTTTGATTAAGGATGGTTGGTGCCCAGCCTTTTCTCTTTTCCCGGAGAACTCTCCAGACTACACCACAGAGCCCTGCCCTATCTTCTCTGACCGCCTGCCTCTTCCCTCCACACAGCCTGCCGCTGCGGTTTTGGGTTAACATGATCAAGAACCCTCAGTTTGTGTTTGACATCCACAAGAACAGCATCACGGATGCCTGCCTCTCCGTGGTGGCCCAGACCTTCATGGACTCCTGCTCCACGTCAGAGCACCGGCTGGGCAAGGACTCCCCCTCCAACAAGCTGCTCTATGCCAAGGACATCCCCAGCTACAAGAACTGGGTGGAGAGGTGAGTGCTGAGCCCGGGAGCCACAGTAGGGCCCCTTGCTGCAGCAAACAACTGCTCTCCATGAGGGCTCCCCTCCCCAGTGGGTGGAGACAACAGATAGAAATATTGTACTTGCTGTCCTGAAGGAAGTAGCTTGAAGGGTTGGCATTCTAAGAAGCAAGCCAAATGCGCATGAGCCCTGTCACTACCACCAGCAGTTGGAACAGCAACCAAAACCCTAAAATGTCAGGGCCAAAAGCAGGAGGTAAGCTGGTAGGAGCAGAGGGAGGATCAGTCACAAAGCCTGATCCTGCAATTGCAATGCCCACACCTCATTGTCCCCAGTGGCACTGTCAGCTGAAGCAAGACCCCGGGGAACTTGGCTGGAAGTTACCTCTGGATTCTGCTTCCCTGCCTGGAGGGCCCCAGCCCTTCAAGACTGAAACGCCTTCAGGCCCAGGAAGGAAATCAAGTCGCTGCTCTGATCCCCACCCAAACAAAATAAAACATACAAACAAATCTTCAAGGGACCAAATAACATCTTGGCACAGAAAATCTGGAGTCTTCTAACCTGTCTGCCCCTGTCCACGTCAAGTGGGGATGTTGTTCTCACTCTGATGCTTCTCCCGGCCCCAGTCCCTTGAGCCCTCCAAGACGACCTCTTGATGCCCTGCACCCTGTAGTGCTTTCTCGGCCATCATAGCCCTGACCTAATCGCCGTCTTTCGCAGTGTCCTGTGCTTGCAGGGCCCCCCGTAAGCTGGGGAGCCCGTCTTCCTGCAAGGCTAACTTGTGGTAAAGAACATCAGTGGCTTGTCTGGGCCAATCAGCTCCACATACCAAGCACCTGAGCTAGGCAACCAGCCAAAGCTTTATTTATTTATTCATCACAGTAGCCCTGGAATATAAGAGGACAGGATTATAACCTCATTTTCTGCCCATGAGAGTGAAGAAATACACATTCAGAATGGCTAAGTAATCAGCCCAAGATGACTTCAGTGGCCAAGATAAGAGTTGATCCCAAATTTGGGTGACGCCTACATCACTTTTCTACTATTTATGATACTTTTAGACTTGGCCTCTACCAAGCTATATGGTGCCTCTGTGTGAATTAAGGCAGGTGCCCTTTCCTAGAGAAGGGTGTAAGCCCAGGCCAGGGTGCATGGTTTGTTGAGGGATGGACTGGTTGTCACCCCAAGCACCTTTGTGCAGTGAACAATGCACAATTCCACATGGCAGTCTTGATTTTAGAGTCCCTTTCTCTTTTTATCATACAGCCTAAAACTAGGAAACCCGGATGGAAGCTCTGTTTTGAGGCCTTTTTTTTTTTTTTGAGGCCTTTTTTTTTTTAATGAGTAAAAGATGCCAAAAATTGTTCTTGACTTAGTAACTGAAGACAAAATGAAGAGTATCATTTCACCCATAGCAAAGAGACAGTCTCCATATTTCATACTTGAAAACTGCCTTCCCTTATAAAGAGCTGGAATAACTAAGAGGGCATGGAGTCCTGGCCACCTCAGTAACATAATTCTGCTAACAAGGGTTGAATTTTATTCTTTGAGATCCTCCCCACCCCTTCCTGCTGATGCGTGTAGTGGGCATTGGTGTTAGCCAACCGAGAGAGAGAGAGAGAGAGAGAGAGAGAGAGAGAGAAAGAGAGCTCTCCTGTCCTTGTATTTATGTCTGAGTCATGAGGAGAGGCTCTCACCTCCACAGAGATGGTGGCTCATTCTTCTGACAATAGAGCTGCCAGAAACAGGATTAGCCCTCCTGTGTGGTCAACGGCTCTTCAGCAAAGAGAGAGGGGGGAAAGGTGGCAGCAAGGCCAGATTATCCGGGCACTGGTGTGGCATCACTGTGCTGGGACCTCAGGTCGGGGGCAAAGAATCAGGGACATGGGGGGCGGGGGGCATTGCTGAAGCATCTGCAGAGGGGACACTCCCCAGAACACAGTTTGCCAGTCAAGGGTGAGAGTAATGCATGCGCAGGGTTAATGGCCTTCCTGCCGCCCGGTGCTAAATGAAATCTGTGCCACGCAGCTGCTACGGGTCATGAGGAACCCCAGTCCATTTGGTTATTTTTAGGAGTGGCTCGATGGTTTCCATTTCTTATCCTGCCAGTTTCTTAGCAACCAGTGGCACTCTAGGGAGAATCATCTTTCACTAGACTAAGATCCCACCCAACCCTTTCTCCTCCCATTCTGGGACGAGGTACAGAGACAGGGGGATTAGGAGACTGTGGACTGGTCTGGAGATCAAGTCTAGAGCGCTTCTTCACTTGGTGATGGATGGATCGATTCTGCTGTCGCTGCCTGAGGAACCTGGCCCCCGAGTTTGTCTGCTTGCTGGAAAGTGAAGCCCAGCACAGAACTCAGTCACCATCCACTGTGAGCCTGGTCTCCCACCTCAGCCTACCCAGGGCACCAACAGCCTGCAGGTCAGAAGAATGTCGGAAGAACCCAACCTCTTATGGCCAGGGCCTACTCGCTGGTAATGTCACTGCCTGAGCCTACAGACAGCCCACACAGGACTCAGGCTTAGTGACTCGCTGTGGGAGACTGCACCCTTCGTGCATCACAGCTGAGAAAGAGGACTTACCCTGGCTGGTCCCCTCAATAGAGCAGGGGGAAGCATCTGGATTCTGGAGACCTCACTAACTCTGTCGGTTGAACCGCCTAGATCATTCTATCACACCTATGCTGGCTTGTATCTCCTAGAAGTTCTTCATCTACCCACACTCCCCCAACCCAGTCCTCCCATCCCATTCTTCCTCTCATCCTCCTATTTCATCCTCCCTTCCATCCTCCCATCCCATTCCTGCCTCCAAATACCTTTTAGTGCTAATGGTCAGCAGCTCTACTGCAGACATCCAGTCTCTGCTGCCTCTCTACAAGTATTCGGGTTTTTGCTTATGGCCACACCCAGAGAAAGGGAGCAGGATGTCTAGATCCCCAGCAGCAAGCAACTACTACACTCATAGAGCAGAACTCAGTGATGTTCTCACCATGAACAGCCCAGTGTATCGTGACCAGTCATAGTTCTTGTATCATTAGCAAGAGCCATACAATTATCGTGTTAAGTGGGGGTTTCCTCTCATTTTAAATTGGTAGAGCCTCAAGGTTATTCCTATGGCAGCATTAGCCTCTCTCACCTGCACCCAAGGCTTTCCAGGTAGGAATGAGTGGAGTGGAATCACACTTGACCCGCTCAGAACTGGACTGGGCTGTGCCACACATCAGAATATCATCTGTCACCTGTGTCACAGCATAAAAAAAAGGTTAAGAATTTTGAATATTTAAAAATGCCCCCTAAGGAAGCCATCCATTCAAAATATAAAACTGACGGTTCACCCTGGGAGCAATATTGGAATACAGACATTTCATTAACTTATTCATCAATCCGTGGGTCAAACATTTATGGTCTCCATCAAGAGTGTATGGGGCACGTGGGATATATTACACTGGATCCTTCCCTTGTGGCTCTTGTGGTCTAGGAAGACACGGACAGGCATTCAACAAGCCCCAGGAGCTGTAATAGTGCAGCTGGGAGAGTAAGAGCCTGATTCTGCTGGGCCGGGAGAGGTCAGCAAACGGTTCTCAGAGGAAAAGACTTTTGTACAGGGCCTTGCAAGCCAAGTGTCTGTATATCAGAACATCAGGCTCTAAGCGTTTTTTCATGTCTATGCCTTCATCCTTGAGGTTGTCTGAAGAGATGACAAAACTTTGTTCTTCTAAGAGTTCAGGGCATTGGAAACCACTTTCGTGATCACTGGAGCTGTCATAATGGCAGAGATGAGACACCTGCCATCACATACTGGGCCCATCCCCTAGAAGCCCAGTTCACAAATGCAGAAAATTCAGCATTCTAGGACCCTGCCTTCATAGCAGCTCTCCAAGGACCCACAAGGGTTCTGGCATCCCATCTGGTATGAGCAAACTCAGCAAAGAATACTAGGTAGGGCCAGTGGTGGAACTCAGACATCCTCCGCAAGTGTGGTCTTGGCCAGCCTGCCAGGTCCTGGCCAGCCAGAGGCGGTTCTTGGGGGCCTTTCAGAGCATCAGTCCCTTCTGAAGGGGCTCACCTGCAGGCGAATCCCCTGGGAGGAAGTTCAAGTACACGAGCCCAAGCTGACCTTTCCCTTCCTCACTGCACAGCCTGCTGATAAGAACACTTGTTTGAAGTTCATTAACGGGGCATAATTGCATTCTTCACAATCAATAAGCCTTCTCGGTGGCGGGGCCCAGCACAAAGGCCAGCCCAGCGGGAGCTGAGAAGGAAGCAATCACCCACACAGCCAGGGAATCCAGGGTGAGGTCATTATCAGGCTCAAGGGGTGCTGGCAAGGCCAGAGGGCAGGACACAGCCCTGGAGGGGAGTGAGGAGAGGTCAAGGCAGGGTCAGCATGCCCTGTCAGGCGGATGGGCCCAGCTAGAACCGGGCAGGGCTGGGGACAAGAACCAGGCAGAGCGTCAGCCAGACCCAAGACCCACATTCATCCAGGAAACTGAGCCTTCCATGACCATGCAGCTCAGCTAATCAGAACTTGCCAAGATGAGGACATGTGCCTGGTGCATTCATGAGCAAGTGTGTGACCACAGACGTGCGCTGGTCCAATCCAGCGGCCTCTGCACGGAGACAGCAGAGGAGAGACTGGGCTGCTCCACGTGGACATGAATGGTAGCATAATGCAAAGCACATCCGGGTAAGCCACCACCCATTTCTTCAGATGAAAATGTTGGAAGCCCTGCCCTCTCCCCCCTCCACCCCGAACCCCTTCCTCCCTCTCTTTCTCACTTACAGACACACTTTCTATATATTCTCTTTGGAGAAATGGACCAGGCATCTAGCACACACCGAGGCCAGCCTTGTTGAAGGGACAGAGTGCTGGGCACCTGCTATTTCCAGTGGAGACAGTGGTCCCTCACCTGGGCTCTCGTGCACCCCGGGGAGCTAAATACCACAGGAGGAAAAAAAGCCTGATGGCCCATTCACACACCCGTGAGAGGTGTCACGGACAGGCAACAGAAATGGCAGGAGTCTTTGCCTGTGATGACAGTCATGTCCTGTGAGTGAGGACCTGGGTTTTTCATCCCGTTCAGTCTGTCTGCCTGTCCACAGGTGACAGAGTGTCACTGTCAGGACGGAGCTGTGTTAGCAGAGACACGCTGGGCCGCTGGCCGTGGAGAAGCCAGGAAGATCATCGGTTCATGGTCTTCGCCAACGTGACCTGACCACACAGCCCTCTAGCTGACCAGTGCATCGAGACAGTGGCACACATCTCCTCGGGAGGGGACAAGGTTGGGAGCCACCACCAAAACCCCTGGGTCTCCACTATAAAATGGAACTTTGGCATTTACTGCCCTCCAGAAATACTGCCAATGAATCGAGTCTCTTGCCGGAACATTTATACCTGGAATGTCATTAAATCACCCAGGACCCAGAGGACGCTGAGGCTGTCGAGGGGTGGGTTGCAGGCCGGGAAGAGAACAGGCTCTTCTGGGATGGTGCGAAGGAGCCATAAGGCAACAGGACAGGGAACCGGGCGGGGGTGGGGGTGGCTCTGAACCTGAGGGGGCCAGGGGGACAGGGGACCAGCCATGACCCCGCCCTGGATGAAGGTTGTGAAGGATGAAGTCCCCATGGGCTGGGGGCAGGACGGCCTTGTCTGCGGCCCCAGGCGCCTCCGAGAAAGGCCATCTCATTAAGCTCTTGTCCCTGGGCCCAGACCTCCTGCCAAAAGGCAATCAGCTCAACAAAGCAGTTGGCCAGTGTGTCTGTGTGTGGCCCGGCTTCTGAGGTCAGAGGAGGCGCCCCCTGACCAGCTCCTTCCTTTGCCAGAGCGCACAGATTTCATCTCCTTCCCTCTGCCTCTCTCGGAAAGTTTCCAGAATGAATGCCAGGTCTGCAGACGCAGCAAGGCTATGGCTTGGGGCAGCGCGGCCACCACGGCCCTCATCGGCCCAGGAAGGCTCTGGCAGCAAATTGAACTGTCATTCAGTTGCAGACCCTCGAGCTTGATGGCTAGAGGAACACGCAAGTGCCACCTCTCCAGCTTGTCACCCACTCCTGGGCAGAGAGGGGGATGGAAGGGCGGATGGCACAGGACTTACGCATCCGTGGGCGGTACCCTGAGAGGTGCAGACTGGGAATGGCACAGGGCCGAGGGGCAAGGCTGAGACGGCACCAGAGCCTCCGAGGATGCCCCACACACTCGCCCGATCAAGCCCTGAGTTCTGGGAATCCCCGGGGCCTGTCGCTGGCACTTGCACTTACACAGGTGAGCCAGTGCCTCTCCTAAAACGGTTGTGTCCTCGATGCCTCCCTCACCTTGGCCTATCCCCATTCCGCCACCGTCCCACCACCCTCCTCTGTTCCAGGTTCTCAGGCATGCCCTTCCCCGCTCTGAAGGCTGAGGCATTCAGTGCAGGCTGAGCTGGGGTGATCAGGACTCCGGTGCGGGGGGCGGTTCCCCGGATGCCCTGATGTCTCTCCCTGCTTTCGTAGGCTCCAGGCCCATTTGTGTGGCCCACCACCAGAAAGCGCCCAGGAAGGGGGCCTGGGTGTCTCTGGGGCTCTGGGGCCTTTCCGTTCCTCATTAGGACCCTGCACAACTCCCCTCTGGTGGAGGAGTTGGGGTTCGCTGCATATAATGTCAACTTGCAGAAATTAAAAATGTAAATGCTGGCGTCTAATTAACCAGTTGACAGCAGTGCACAGCTGCAAGTGACAGTGACTGATTGCCTTCTGCCAGCCTCTCTCCCCACGCAGCCCCCCTGCCGCCCCCGCTTCGCCCAGGGAGCCCCCGAGAGGGGAGGGCATGGAGGCAGAGCAACCGCTTGGAAGCCCAGTGGAGCCCAGTGGAGGGCACCTCTTGCGTTTGTGGGAGGAGGAGTGACAAGGACAGAAGAGCTAGACCGGGCACCCTTTGGGGTCTGGGGGCCAGGCTGAGGCAGGGGACGGTTCCTCCTTACTCCTGCTCCCACCCCGGTCCTCCCCTGACCACTTCGGAGCCACATCCTCCCCCTGCACCCCAAGCTGTACAGGACCAGTCCAGAAGCGCAGGTGGGAGAGGGCCCGCCGTGGTCCCCAGGGGGTGGTGCCCAGCCATCCGCCAGCCCCCGACATCGTGCCGGGAGTTTCAATCTGCCCGGTCCTCTGTCCGCACGGCTCCAGCTCTTTCTTCCCCTCCGCCTTCCCTGGCAGGTATTACTCGGACATCGGGAAGATGCCGGCCATCAGCGACCAGGACATGAACGCGTACCTGGCTGAGCAGTCCCGGATGCACATGAACGAGTTCAACGCCATGAGCGCGCTCTCAGAGATCTTCTCCTACGTGGGCAAGTACAGCGAGGAGGTGAGCCCACCCTGCTTGGCACCTGCTGGGAAGGACGGGGCAGAGATGAACAGTCACTGCCTGTGTAGCAGCCTCTGCACAGGAGCCCCAGGCACGAACCCCAGACAACCCCCCGCCTCTGCTGGGGAAGCTGTCCCCGCCTTGGACTTGGCGGCTGCGCTCCACAGACTGGGGCCATAGAAACCTTCCGTTCTGCAAATTCTGCATTCATCCCCATTCTCAGATATTTAGATAAAGTAGCTGTTTCTTTCTCTCTTTTCTTTTTTTAAATTCTTACTTCTTCCCTGCTTGTCCCTCTCTTTTATTTTTCCCTTTTCTCTCCTGATCTAACTGTCTTTAAGCAAGCAGTTTCCCACTCCCATGGTAGGCTGCATGGGAATGGTATGTGGGAGAGGGAGGGGAGGGCAGGGGAGAGGAGGGTCAGGACAGAATAGACACAGAACAGAGTTCCCCAGATGGAAAGGAAAGCAGACGCTGCCTTCTTCCTGGCCAGTACAGAGGTGCTTATGGGAGGGTTCTAATTCATGCAGGCTTAGCCCAAGTGGGTTCAGAATCCAGGCTCCCTGTGTCTGAGCGGCAGCATAACCACCTTCCCCTGTGGGGAAGTGGGAGGTAGTGACAGGAGCTGGAGCCGGTGCCCCCCGTTCTCCGCCTCCTCCCCGCTCATCACTGAGAGGGCCTAGGAGCCCCAGGCCACGGAAGAGGCCCCAGCAGGCTGTGAGCAGCATAATGCTGCAAGCCTCCAGTGAAGGGGAAGCCAGCTGTGGGTCCATAGGGGGGGACCGAGATGCCAGCCTGCAGGCCGGTGCTGGTCCCGGGCAAGGCTGTCACCTGCCCGTGGCCACATGAGAGAAGTAAGGATGATGCGGGATGTGCCAGGGCAGGAGTACAGCTGCCTCATCTTGCAAGCACTGCCTTTTAGTCTACAAGGACACTCGTCTACTCTTGGTGTAAAAATGCCCCATCCTCATGAAATACTAGCGCCAGGAACTGGTGGTTCTGGGCCAGCTAAGAGGTCGGCAACTCCACCTTGGTCTCCCCACTTAAAAATACACTAAGTGGGCCAGGAAATCCAGAGCTCTGGGAGCCTCCTCTGGAGCCTTCAGCCTCCTCTCTGGCTCCTCTGCCTCCCTACCCCTCAGCCCCAGCGCCAGGAGATGCCACACCTGCGTGTCAGGTGCCCCTTGTGGAGCAAACTTCATGTGAGCCACCCACACAGGGACCAGGAGTTCCCCCATTATACAGATGAAGCAATGAGGGTTCAGAGAAGTGATGTGTTTTTCCCCAGATCACCCAGCTAGACACTGGTAGATCTGTTATTCAGCCTCACGTCTCCTGAGTCTGAGTCAACTTCTCACTTATTTTTTATGGCGTCCTCACTGTCATTCTTCTCTACCAACCATCTGATCCCAGAAAAGGCTTTGGCAGACGTTATCATTCACTGCTAGTGACCAGGAAAACATGAGATATCCCCCTTGGAAGGATATTTGTTTGTTGACACGCAAGCAAAGCCAAATGACTTTCTAAATGTGGGATCAGGGGGCCTCAGGGAGCTGATGGGGAAGATACTCCTTTTTAGGAAGGAGGGGTGGGATTTCTTAATATCTATGAAAGCACATTCCCCAGAGACACCAGGCACCACACTTTACGTGGGGGTAGGCCCGTGTGTTTGTTAACCGGCAGGGACCTGGTACATCTCTGAACAGGTGTCTCCTGCCCACTGCCAGCTGTCTTACGTGGGCAGCAGAGCGCATGCATTTATTCAGACATGTTGATGAATGTGCCGACTCCCTGTGCTCACTGACACAGGGGTACCCACCTGCTGCACCCCACCCCCGAGTGCCCCTGCACCTCTCCATCCCTGTTAGCCAGGCTGCCTGCTGACCCAGAGACTTCACGTGTGCAACTTCGTGTGCACGTGGCTTTCCAAGCCTGACCCCGCTCGCCCTGTCCGTGCACGCCCTAAGAACACAGACCCGTATGCACAAACTAGTAACCTCCCCATTCTTGGCCCTTCAACAGATCCTCGGACCTCTGGACCATGACGACCAGTGCGGAAAGCAGAAACTGGCCTACAAACTAGAACAAGTCATAACCCTCATGAGCTTAGACAGCTGAGAACCGTCCTTCCAGGGCCCCTGGGGGGAGGGACACACCAAGCCGTGCCTCAGTCTAGATTATCATCTTTACCAAGTGCAAGTTCCGACTGGCGTCAGCAGCATCCCCTGAACAGCGCTGTCTCTCTCTCCGCCTCTTTCTGTCTCTCCCTCCTCCCTGCATCCCTTCTCTCTCAGTTGCTCTGCCAACATGATCCAACCAAGCCACCACCCCTCAGTGAGTCCAGGATGGCCAGGCTCACGCGGGGACCTGGCCAGAAGATATCAGAGGGGCTCTCTTTCCTGGTTGACCCCCAGGCATCATCAGAGGGGGCCCAAAGATGGAGGAGGAGCCGTGGAGAGAGGACGCTTCTGCGTTGCTACTCCACCTTCCACACTGGGCCAAACCTTGGTCTAGGGAAGAGGCAATGAGCTCAGTATTACCTTCACTGGGAAGACATCACCTGGCTCTCTCCCTTCCCAAATGCCTATCTCCAGGGGGTCCACCAGGGTCTGAGCCCATTGCAACTGTGAGAAGAAAGGCCACAGCTCCTGCATACAGAGGAGTAGGGATTAAGGGGGTGGGGAAGGAGTAGAGAGGTGCTTTTCAAGCTGCCTCTCACTTCTTGGGTTGGCATTCAGAGGCCGCCTTGTCACCTTCTAGTCTTCTTGGAGCCCTTCCAAGTGCTCCTAGGGACCTACCCGCCCTGTCCCCTCCCCTGCCTCTGGAAAGCCAGACAGGAGAAGCAGCGGTTGCATTCCACTGTGGAGACCCTCCTAACCTTCAGGTCTGGCTCATAGCAACAGAAATGTAACATGGAGGGGGAGAAAGGGAAAGAGGGTCACATCCACCCTGGGCAGAATTGGTTGTTTTTCATTCACCCCCAAATGCAAATGAAGCACGTCCATAGTCATAGGCTCATCCGTTGCCGGATCCTTGATGCTGTCTAGAGAAAGCACCTACCTGCATCCTCCTTGCTCGGCACTCATCAGGGGACAATGTAAAATGCAGAGTACATCCAGGAGATTCTACCTCCAGCCGCCTTTATTGGCTCCGTCCCCACCCCCCTTCCTGAGAACTCTATAGAAGCTTGGGGCAAAGAGCTGAGGCCTTGGCCCCCTGCAGAGCCTGGTGCCATTGCTATGCAGACGACATTGTCACTGGACTGTCCAGACCTACTTGGCAATGACTCCCTCACCACCTGCTGTCTCTTCGGTCACTGCCCTTCCTCACCTCCTCCCTAGTCATCATGGAGAAAACCACGCTCAAGCACAGCCTCACGGAAACAAACCAAAATGCCAGCCAAACTCAGTCCCCAGCTCGCCGTGTCCAGGAGGGACCTAGGACTCAAGTGGAAGGAGCTAGCCAACAATGAGAGAAGAGACATACAATGGACCTCGGCCCTGGCATCTGTTTCTCCATCTGTCCTTCCATCTCTGGTCTCTCATTTCAGCCCGTCAGGCAAACGTGTGTTCGGACATGGGTGAGCAGGGGCCGTGGTAAGAGACGGTCTAATGTAGGGTCATGGAAACTTAATCTTGAAGGGACTTTAGATGCCATCTGGCCCAGTTTCCCACCATAAGCAAGAGACTGTCTTAGCAGTCCTGCTGGCTAATTATACCCCACTCTGGGAGACCAGGAGAAGCATCACCTAAAGTGTGGTTGCAAGTCAGGGTTCCAGTCTTGCCTTCACTCCCTGAGCATCAGACATCAGTCTCTGTCATCCATTCACAATGAGCCCCAGGTGAAAATGGGAAGGAACCACTTAATCTCCAGCAAAGTTCATGGAGCACCCTGTACTTTTAAGAACTCTGGCCCCTTTGGATATGAGTGTGTGTGTGTGTGTGTGTGTGTGAGTGTGTGTGCATGTGTGTGCATGTGAGTGTGTCTGCTCTAGGAGCAGGCAGAGAGAGCTCGAAAGGATTTCTTGTCCTATGGAGGGGACTCTGAGGTGTTTCTCTTCTCCATCCTTGCTCATTCATTCTGCAGCTTCAGGACATTTCAACACTAGCTTTCTGTGCTGAGTGCTGGTGGGTGGAAGAAGAGTCACCGGTCCGTAGGAAACCAGGGTGCTCAGTGGCCGAAGGAGGCCTGGACTGGCCTGGAGGCCCGGTGGAGGTGACCCACAGCAGGGCATCATGTGTCATGAAGGAGAGGACAAACGGGGACAAAATAAGAGTAGCTAACAATGGAAAGAGGAGAATGGGGGAAAGATGTACGTTGTGGGGGGAAAAGATAACCAAAGGTTTTGGCAAATGAAGTGCCAGGTGAAGAAGCAAGGGCTTTCTGCCCTGGACCATTTCCTCATTTCCTCCCAGGAAGCCACGGGCCCTGGCCAGAGAGGAAGCATGTGAGAGCGGGCGGGTGGGCGGAGGAGGCACGGTGGCCAGAAGATGTATTTCCACACGTGAGGGGTTGGGGAGGAGAGAGACACAAACATATTTAACACAGATTCGCTGAGTGGAAACCGTGTGTGTGTGTGTGTGTGTGTGTGTGTGTGTGAGCGCATGTATGAGTGAGTGTGTTTGATTTATTTTTTAAGTTTTGCACAGTTAGGAAAACAAACTAGCAGGCAGAAAAGAAGACTGTTATTGTGGTTCTGCTGAAGCTTTTATTTTTTACCGGATTATTATTGTTATTGTTATTGTTCCTTCGTCGGTACAGAACCCCCCTCCCCAACCCGCCCCTGCCCCGGGTTTTGTCACAAGAGAAGCTTCAAACACCTCAGAGAAAGCTCGATGTCGGGAAGAGAGAGGACAGGACAGTGTCCTGGCTCTCCTCCTTCCTCCTGGAGGCGGGTTGTTTGCTGAAGTCTCTGCGGCCTGCTTGGGCTGGAGAAACAGGAGAGGACCACCCGGAGCTGCTACCCATCTTGTCCGCAAAAATTCTCTTTCCCTTTTCTGTTTGTTTCTCTTTCCTTTCTCTGTTCCTTTTACAATTTTTTTTCCATTTGGATTCATGCGCACATGTGATACATTTCCAAGTAAATACAAGGCAGCGTTGTCGGAAAGCTGTCCTTGGCTCCCATGATCTTTCCAGAATATCCCCTGGAGACCCCAATCTCCTCCTGGCAAGCCAGAGACCCCCAGAGCTGCCCCTGGAGGGGGGCATGCAGACCAGCACCCCGCAGAGAAGGGAGCTGGACAAACTGGCCCCAGGAAAGGAAGGTCCCCTCGAGGCCTCCCCCATGACTGTGAATTTGCAGGGTCATGACTCTGTTTAAGGTGGAATCTTTATCTAGGTTCTTGGGTCCCAGGCAGAGAGAAAGGGAAGAAAGGCCCATCTTCTCTCACCTTCCCCTCCAACCACCTCCTGCACCCTCCCGCCCTTGAGACCACCAGGGTCCAGGTGGTGCCGGGAGATCACACACTCAGAAAAACAGACCTCGGTTAGATGGAGACTTTGAACGTAGGAGGGAGATGGGCTGACGCTGAGGTGCTGGAAGGCAGGCAGCTTTATGGGGTCCTGAATTCAAAAGGACGGATGGAGAGAAGCTGAGACAGGTGGCTGCGGGCAGGTCATTCCTCTCGGGAGAGGCATCTCCCCAGGCTGGGCTCTGTCATCCTTTGTCCCTCCTTGTAAGAAGAGACGCCGGCCTCTCTTGGTACCTGCAAATAGGGCCACTAAGTGCAGATGGCTACTGTGTCACTTAATTCCTCAGGAAAATACTTTTTCTTGCCTTCTTTCAATGTGGTTTTAATTCGGGGACTGAGGACAGCCTGAGTGTGCACAGGCCGATGTAGGTTCAAACCCCTGGGACATGCACACCCAGAGTCGGCTCTAGAGCCTCCCTCTTGTGAGCCAGTGGGTGGACAGGTTGGGCCGAGATGCCTGAGCCAGGCTAGGGTCAGAGAGAGAAGTCCTCGTCAATCATCCCAAAGTGAAGCAGACTGTCCAGAGCTGTGCCAGGCAGGAGTGGGAGCCGCTGACAGGTAAGGCCGCTGACCTTGGCCACTCAGGCCTGGTTCTCAACACCCCCAGCCCTAGGCTAATATCAAGGTAGTGTCCCAGTACCCCATTCCCCCCGTCTGAGGCCCTCTGCTTGTGTTCCCCTTGCATGTCTGGCTTCTGAGAGTGTCCCTCCCCCCACAGAGGCAAGTGAACCCCCTTGTCCCCATTGCCCGCAGCTCTGCCCCAAGGCTGCGGACCTCCTGGCACAGGAGCCTCAGACCTCACAACCCACCCCCCAGGGCAAGCCCCTGTCACCATTCCCAGCACTGCCTCCCTGAGTGATTGGGGGTCCCCAGTCCCACCTGGGCCCTGGGGGTCCCCCATCAGAGGAGCCACAAGCAATGATTTCTCAAGCAACCTCCACCCCCCAGATGCCAAGTCCTGCTGATGTTTCCAGAACCCAAAACAACCACTCGCTTTGACCTAACAGGCAAAGCCCTGTTTTCCATCTGTCTCCATTCTCAGGAATGAGGCGACATTCTTTGGGCTTCACAGGATGTGAAGTCAAATACTTAACCTCGTGAGGGTTAAAGTGAATTATTCTTAATCAAGAGCAAACATTCCCACCTCTCAGAGAGCAAGGAGGGAGGGGAAGAGGCAGGGAGGCTCTGCAGGCCCAGAGATACCCCCTCCACGGTCCTTGCAGGAATGGGCCGCCCCAACAGGTGGTCCTGGCATGGGTCCGAAAGGTCTCTGAGAGGCATGTCTAGGCATGAACAACCTCCAGGTACCAGAGTCCCTGGAAGAAGACCCTGCCCCAGGTGGATCCAGGCTCCTTCCTGGCCTTTCCTCTGGCTCCTAGTTCACGTCAAGGACCACCTGTAAGCCCTGCATGCTTCCTGTCAGCATCCAGGACAGGTGACGGAGAGCCCCTGACCCTGCAGCCCCGCCTTTTTTCTTTAACCTGTATATGAACTGTCTATTTGGGGTCTGAGGTCATTTGGTTTTTGTTTGTGTATGTTAAGCGTTGGAAATTAAGGAGGGAGCCCAGGTGTGGGTGTAAAGTCCAAACTGCTAAAAGGGAGAAACAAAACTCTTCACCTGTGACCTGAGAGGGATGAGAAGAGCCTGGGGGCTGGGGCTGGGGGGCTCCCCCTGTTGTTAAAAAATGGGTCAGGATATTCCCCGGATGTGGACGTGCCTGGGGAAGCAGCCTCCATGGCTGCTGATATTCTCGGTGCTTCCTGGGCACCTGGGATGGCTGGAGCCTGTGATGATGCCAGGTCTTCCCCTCCCGCCTCCTGCCGCCTCGCCCCAACAGGTGCCACTGGAGAGACAGCTCCAGAGAGAGTCTGGGAAACCATGAGCCTCCATCCTCATGGTGCTCTGAGAGTGGCAAAGCCCTCCACTGGAAAACTTAGAAAATGACCCCCCCATCCACAAAGGAATCTCTGTAGTAAAAGTTTTGGACTTTCAAGAGAAACTTTTTTTTTTTTTAAACTACAAGTCTTTGCTCCCTGATAAAATTGTTTGTTTGTTTGTTTGCTTGTTTAATTTGGGGAATATCCAACTTTATAAAATATAGAGGATTTTTTGGTTGTAAAAGTAATGCATACTCATTAGAGTCCCAATTAAATTCCATGAGTAGACTGGTGACTACCCCAGCTCAGCAAAGCTGAATGAAACAAAATCCCTAATGAAATTAAAAGAGGTTTCTGTCTTCATTGGCAGACATAGTGAGGGGGGTGGGGGGGGAATGCTCTTGGTCAGGTGTGCCCCACCCCCCCTCCTCCTTACCCCCTTTCACTTTGTCCAGTCTTGGCTCTCTGGACCGCCCCTGGTGTGGCTGAGCCCCCTGCAGTCCCCACCAGCTTTCCTCAGACCGAGGGGTCACCCCGTTGGGGATGGGCCATGGAGGGACCAATCACCCTCCCCTGAGAGTGCAAACGCTCATGGCAAATAGACAACAGGTTCTATGCAGTTCATCTTCTACCATTTTTTTTTTAACTGGAATTAGAACATCTTTTGTTAGTATCTTTGATCTTATGAGTCAAGCACATTTTGGAAGGGCTCCCTTCCAAGAGTGGAATTCAAAACAGAGGATACAGTTAAAGAGCAATGCAAAGGACACTTCACCAAGCGAGACCGCTCACCCAATAGGACCCCTGGATGCGGCTCAGGCCTGTGACCAAGATGCGACACGTGTCTCTTATGTTGTCCTGCCTCCTCCCTTCCCCAGCGTTCTCCCCAGCTGTTGGCTCGTTAAACCTTCTGTTCTTTAAAAAGAAAAGCTAGTTTACCTCAAAGATTCTTGTTTCCATTTGGAAACTAATGACTTTGTGTTTTAGAGTAGATGACCCTCCCCTCCATCACCCCCTAACTGGGGCTGGTGTCCCTGAGGCCTGAAGGCCTTGCCTAGTCATGTGTTGGCAATGCCGACCAAGAACAAGACCCCAAGGCCCCGGAGACAGGAAGGATTGGGTGCAGCTGGCTTCCTCCCCACCTTAGCCGGTAAGGACCAGCCCGTCTCTTCCAGCAGGGTCCTGCCGAGTAGTCACCATAGTAACCAGCAATGCCAGGGTACCACCAACAGAGACCTGCTCATGAGTGAGCTGTGAGCCCGGGCAGAGGGGGGAAGCTGGCCTGATCACATGACCCAGAGTCAAGTCAAAGACTAGAGGGAAGAGGAGAAACAGGGTAGGATGAGTGGGTGGTTTGAGGAACAGCAGAGGCCTTCGAGTCTTGGAGAGAGGCCGCTGAAGGGGGTAGGGCAGGTGGGTCCTGCTCCGGTCACCCCCTTCCAGCTCCACCCCAGCTCCGCTTCCATAAAGTTCCCACCTTGAACACTGACACTTTGTTAGAACAAAGCAAAACATATCTTTAGACAACAGTGTTATAATGAGCCTCTAAGATAGGTGGATGGAATCGATTAGAGGAAGAGGGTCTTCTGGTTTTGATTTTTAAAAAAGAGTATCCTAGTAAGATTAAGAAAAAAAGGATTTAAAAAAAGTTTTTAAAAAGGAAACCTATGCTATTTAAATTGGATCCCAGTTGTAACTTGGTAAAGGCAAGCTTCTGTACCTTTGTTATAATTAATTGTATACCTGTGTATGTAAATATAAGGCATTCCTATTTTGCAGTTCAGAACAAAAAAAAACCTATTTGTAATATAGAATAAAGTTTATTAAAAAATAATAAAAATGCAGTTGGGATTTGGGTCTTTTCTCCTGCGTCTGGCTGGAAGCAGGCAGAGGGGAAGGTTGGCCACAGGTAAGCCTCCACCACGTACAGGTGGGGCAACTTGTCTCTCCAGCCACATGGTATCTAAACATTCTCTTAATTACGGCTCCGTCTTCAGTTACAAAGCAGATGTCTCGGGAGGCAATAATGCCCCCAGATAGGGACAGCAAGCATGCTACCAGCCAGCGCTGTCAGCAGACATCCCTTCCACATGAAGCCAGATCAACCTCTGAATCCTCCTCGACACAGCCCTTCAGCTTGCTGGAGTTGGTGCCGGCGAGGGCACGAATTGTCATCCCTGTTGTGAGTCTTCTTGGCAAGCCACACCTCAGTATAAGTGATCTCATCAGTCTAGCCCACCCCCAGCATTTTAACAGAGGGTAGAAATCTTGAACCCAATTGTGCTTCTGGCATAGGAGTAGGATAGGGAGAGAACAAGAAGGGGAAAGGTGGCGGTGGAGGCAGGGAGCAGGGAAGCAGACAGCTGTCCACCTGCCACCAGCGTCCATCCGTAGTCCAGACTGGCCTCCAGGGCAAAGTGGGCAGTGCACAGTCAGGTCTGGGCCCAGAAACTCTGCATCATCCTCTGCATTCAACTGGCTGCCCTCCCATGGATCCTTTTGTCTCTCCGAGCCTCAGGTCAGCAGCCAGAGAAGGTTGAGCTCCATGTCTCCAACATCTGTATAATTTGAAGTGAAATCCATGAGAGGGAAGCAGGATAAGAAAGGAGAGACAGGGGATCCCTGGGTGGCGCAGCAGTTTAGTGCCTGCCTTTGGCCCAGGGCGCGATCCTGGAGACCCAGGATCGAATCCCACGTCGGGCTCCTGGTGCATGGAGCCTGCTTCTCCCTCTGCCTATGTCTCTGCCTCTCTCTCTCTATCTCTCTCTCTCTCTCTGATTATCATAAATAAATAAAAATTAAAAAAAACTTTAAAAAAAAAAGGAGAGACAGAAACACCAAAGTGGAGAGCGTGAGGAAGAAGGGCAGGAAACAGGGTGGGGAGAAGACAGACAGACCCCAAGCAGCCAACAGCAAGTCCTGCCCTCCCTCCACCCCCATGCTGGGGTTCCCCCAGCCTTCAAAGCAGAGCCCCCAGAGTGTAAATGGAAGGAGTCCACCAAGATGGGAACTCTGGGGGCCAGACAGAAAGGGCAGGAGGTGACTTGGTGCCAAGTCTGTGAGTCCTGTCTTGTCCCACACCTTCCAGAAGAGAGCCCTCCTGAGATAAGAGGCAGTTGCTAAAGGGTAGACACAGCTCCACAGTGACACCGAGACACCACCACCTCTGGGAGACACGTCCTATAGCCAATGACCAGGGAGCACATCAACCTTGGGACAACAAGGGAACAAATGGCACCCAAGAGGGAAAGTGGGGATTAGTGACCCCAGACCCAACAAACTGATGGGCTCAGATCAGAGTGGTAGCTCTTTTCCAGTAGTTCCAACAGACAGGGAAAGTATGTTTTCTCTTTTCCTAAATGATGAGGCAGGCTGTGGTGGGGACGATGGTCTCGGTCCGAAAGTTCAAATCAGATTCCACCCACAATCAAGTTCTTGTCCATCCGCAGGCTCCTTTACCTGTGTGATGTCAGGCAGTACCACCATCAGCCACCATGCCCTTGGGCAGATGGCTTCTCTGTGATTCAGTTTTCTTCTCCAAGATCTGAACATGCTTCTAAATGCTCTATGAAACCCAGGAGAGGGATCCCTGAGTGGCTCAGCGGTTTGGCG